GGAAAAGGACTGTTTCAGAGAGTAAACAGTGTCTGGACAAGAGAAAGCAAAGTCCATAATAGTCGTTGGAGTGGGAAGGGCGGTATTAAATAGGGTGATCAGAGGGAGTGAGCCTGTGGCGAAGTAACATTTGAGTTGAGGCCAAACCCATAAGTAATTCATAACCATTGCAGATCTGGGAACAGTGTTTCAGGCAAAAGGAAGAGCAAATACAGTCTCTGAGGAGGGATTGGACTTATGACTGGAAAGCAGAATATGTGTAGGAAAAAAATCTTGTAAGGGAAAGGGACTCCCAAAATAAAATGATTCGTAGGCTCTATAGGTAGCCTGAAAGCTTCAGACCAATAAACACAATTAAGTGGTAGAAAGGGCCATTTAGGAGCTTTATCCAAGGAAAACGAGAGTTAATGAAGAAATGCTGCCCCCAAATCCACAGAGGAGCAAAACCCAAAGCTGAATATGGGGTGATCGTAACCTGGACACCAAGGCTGGTCCTGGGAGCTTGCAAGCAGGTATGAGGGAAGAAGGCATCCTTTAGCTAGCTTGGGAACTGAACATGGGAGCAGCCAGGGGATGAAGGACTTTGGCTCTCTGTTCCACAGAAGGGAGGGCCCTGGAGTGAGTCAAGGGGATGGGCTGAAGACAAATGGGCATCACAGGGTTCAAAGCTGAGGCATGTTACCATCACCACCTCAGAAAGCAAAAGCAGCTCTCCACTTGAGGCCATCCTAGTATGTAGTGTGGCTCGCTCAGCCATCCGTAGATGACCTGGAACAGGAACTCCCATATACAGCATAACGTGGCTTAGTTCCTCATTTCTTCACTGATAAATAAAGGGAAGAGGAAAGGCCATCACACCAACTGCTTGAAGGGTAGGAACCAGGATTGTAATTTGAGTGACACAGGGCACATGACAAGAAAAATGGGGATTTTTTTCCCCTTACTTGAGCACATCTGGAAGTAGTAACAGATTCTAGAAGTTAGAAGGGTAACCAGAGCTTCCCAGTCCAGTAAGGTATAACCTGGTCTTGCCTTCTCTCAGCTTCTCCACTTCTGTCATTTAAACAGTGAGAAAATTACATGATATGATCACAGATCCTCTCTAGAACTAGCATATAACATTAAAAATGTGTTTTGTATATAAAAAAGACTGTCATGATAGTCAAAAGATAACCTACAGAATGAGAAAACATCTGCAAATCATATAACTGATAAGCTCTAGTATCCACAACATATAAAGAGCTCTTACAACCCAACAACAAAAAGACAACCCAATTTAAAAATGGGCAAAAGGTTGGAATATTTCTCCAACAGAAAAAAATACAAATAGCCAACAAGCACATGAAAATATACTCCACATCATTAGTCATTAGGGAAATGCAAATCAAAACCACAATGAGGTGCCATTTCCTACTTATGGCTATTATTAAAAAACTAACCATAGCATCTTACTACACTGATGGACAGTGACTGTAATGGGGCATGTGAGGGGGACTTGGTAATGAGGGGAGTCTAGTAAACATAATGTTCCTCACGTAATTGTAGATTAATGATACCAAAATGTAAAAAATAAAAATAAATAAAACTAAAAAAAAAAGTAACCAGAAAATAGCAAGTGTTGGTGAGGATGTAAAGAAATTGGAAACCTCTACATTGCTGCTTGGAATGTAAAATCATGCATATACTATGGGAAATGGTTTGGTGGTTCTTCAGGAAGCTAAATGTAAAATTACCATGTGACCCAGCAATTCCATTCCTAGGTATTTACCCTGAAAAATTGAAAATAGGTATTCAAACAAAACTTGGACATGAATGTTCCTAGAACTTTTCACCATAGCCAAAAGGTGGAAACAACCCAACTATCTAATAGCTGATAAATGGATCAACAAAATGTGGTCTGTCCATACAATGGAATATTATTCTGCCATAAGAAGGAATGAAGTACTGATATGTGCTATGACATGAATAAACCTTGAAAATATTATGCTGAGGGAAAGAGCCAGACATACAATGTCACATCTTATATGATTCTGTTTAAGTGAAATATTCAGGATTGGTGAATCCAGAAAAACATGAAGTGAATTTGTGGTTGCCAGGGTTGGGGGGGAAGAGGGAATGGGGAGTGCCTGCATAATGGATTTTTCCTTTTTGGGATAATGAAAATGGTTTGGAAATACCTAGAGGTGACAGTTGTGTAACAACTTGAATGTGGCAAATGCTGCTAAATTGTACATTTTGAAATGGTTAATTTCTGTTATGTGAATTTTACCTCAATTTTTAAAAAGTGTGGGGAGGCAGGGAGGAACTGTCTGAAATTCTGGGCCTATCCTGTTTGAACTGGATCAACAGCAAAGTGAGTAAGCTGACAAACAGATACATCCTTCAATGTCTTCTGTAAATAAAGTCCCTTGTCAGTGTAGGCAAGGTACTCGGTTCTTGGGAAATTGGTCTTGACATTTGTAAATATCCCCTTTATTGTAATGAAATGGTTAGTCCCACCCCATTTGTGGGCAATATGACTAGAGCATGTTTAAAAGAAGTGCTCAAGAACTGACAGAGCAGGGACCAGATTAAACCAGATGTGTATTTTGTTTGTCTCCCACCAGATTCTTACTATCTGAGCCAATAGTTAAAATAGAGGTTTCATAAAAACCCAGCATTCCTGGAGAAACAAACCCTGGGCTCCTGTTGTTACATGGTAACAATCAATTTGGGTTGGCAGCAGGTGCCGCCTTTAGACTGGTCATAGGTTCTCTCCTCCTCTCTCCTCCTTTATGTTACCTGACAGGCTATTCACCCTCTCCTCCTTCCCTCCATCCCATACTGCCACATCCGAACATAAATTTCACCTTTGGACCTTCTTTTGAAGATACAGTTTGCAAAGCCATCCATTAAAATGTAAATCTGCCTTCTGCAAAAATCCTTAGTACAACAATTTGTTTGTAAAGTTGAGAAGGGATACAGGTAAAAATCTCTTGGTTTGAGGGTGGGATCAGGAAGAGGGAAGAATCCCAGATCATAAGATGCTGCCAGCCTGGTGGCAGCATCCCAGAATAAAAGAGTTTGGTGGTGGGCAAGATGGGTGGGCACAAAGCAGGTTATTCTTCCCTTTGGCATTGCTACATGCTCTGTCAAATTTCACAACTTTCCCTTGGGCAGTCCCGCTTCTTGCCTAGGTTGTGGGGGCTGACCTTAGAACAGTGTCCTGCGTGACTGACTCTCGAGCACATTCTGTCTCCTGGAGCACCATCTCACCACAAAAGTCCAGATAAGCCTGGAGTCCAAAACTTTCAGCTCTTACAATCCTGGCAGATGGTCAGAATGCCGCCTACTGTTAAGTACCCTAGCACGTGTGGGACCTTGCTTTTGTTTTCGTTTTGTCTTCTTTTTCTTCCCTTAAACACAATGTGAAAGAAACCAAGGAGTTGGGGACAGTTATCACCACCTCTGGAAGTTCACTTTCTCTCCATAAAATGGAAAAGTGATCCAGACTCAGGTAATAACCAATCAGGAGACAGAGAAATGATCAGAGTAACTCAGGGTTTCTTGCGACTGCTTCTGCTCTGACACAAAATCTATAGGCTTTATAACCTTTATTAGAGTGGAGTGAAGTGCTTCTCCTGATGGAGAAACTTCCAGGTGCCAGCTAATGGCAGCTGCCCCAAAGCTCTTAGGGCGACTATGATCTCGATTTGATAAAACTTTTTATTGTGCTTGCTTTACTCTCTTGATTGGGGAATGTGTGGACTAATCTCTGAGATACTGTTTCATAGGTTATTGCAGTAGACTTTGAAGAATGCAAATTCTGAACTTCCTTTGCTGTCACCTGTATGATGTCAGAGAAATTCAGTCCCTGGAACTCTGTAGCTTGACTCTATAGGGAAAAAACAAGTGGTTTTGTAGATTTTAATAGGGAGGCAACAATGGGAAATGGTGAATGAACTTGGACAAGCCACTTTACCCCAGAAGGCTTCTATTTTCTCATCTGTAAAATGCTACTTCACAGCATTGGCTACATTAAATTAGACAATCTATGCAAACAACCCAGTCTGAAAGCTGTGGGCAAGAATTGGAAGAGATGGTTTCAACAAGAATAAGTTCCTAAGACCTGCCCAAACAGAAGTCCCTCCTATTAGAACAGTCTGTGGCTGAACTTGCTGGAAACTAAAGGAAAACCTGGTTTAGGGGGAGCCTGTGTTGCTTTCAGTTCCTTGGGATCTCTTTCTGGCCTAAGTCTTCAGTGTTCACTTCCTATCATGTGTCGGGCCCATTCACTAGCACCCTTTCTGTGTACCTGGCTAATATCGCTTTCAAGAAAAATGATTTCTACAGGTTCCCTGAAGTAGAGGACATTTGGACATAGCAAGCTGTGACACTCTCAATGTCTGACATCCTTCTGATGCTTCCAAAAAGAAAGCAATGAGCAGGGCATAGCTGGTCGGCAGGAAATGCCCTTCACGCAGAACACTTGATTTCTACAATCTATGTTGTCACTTCTCCAGGGGTTCCTGCTCCTGTTTGTTTTATACTAGGGGAATCCAGCTGGAAGAGTCTGTCCTGACCCTGGTCTGCCTGGGACGGGGGAGCTCTCTGGAATACCTTATTCTGACTACCAGCTTATGTTGGTTCCAGAGGGCTGCTTCTAGGCTTTGTGGGACAAAAATGAAAAGGCAGTTGTTTCTCAAAATTGTCAGGGAAATTATTAACTTGTTTCCTTTGATCCTTTCCGCCTTGGAGGACAGTCAAGTAGCAGGGGTGGAGAACACATTCTATTATTTTCAACATTGCTAAGGTAAACAGTGGGAGAAATTCTGCTACTAGAGAGGTTCAACCTTGGCTATCTGGAGAGTTAGAAGCTGTGTGTATGTGTGTGTGTGTGTGTGTGTGTGTGTGTGTGTGTGTGTGTGTGTGTTTGCATGAGTTTCTGTAAACATAGAACTGTTGAGTAAAAAAATACTGTCATTTCCTCTAACTTTTTCTCTCTTTCATTTTTTTTTAAGGCCTGAGTTTCCTGCTGCTATTCACAAAGATGCTTTTTATCTTTAACTTCTTGTTTTCCCCACTTCCAACCCCGGCACTGATCTTCATTCTGACCTTTGGAGCTGCCGTCTTCCTGTGGCTGATCAACAGACCTCTGCCAGTTTTGCCTCTCATTGATTTGAACAACCAGTCAGTGGGAATCGAGGTAACTTACCAATCACTATTTTAGTTTGTTCAATTCAAGAGCTTGAGATAACTCACAAAGGAGAAGGGACAGCGTGGGGAAAGAAGCCTTTTAGGTTAGCAATCAATAGAAAAATCTACAAATTAAAATTTCTTTTAATGGCCTATTTTCCTTTGTAATAACAATAAAACCACAGCTAGGTTTTATGATGTTAGTAACCTAGACAAGGGTTGGCAAACTATAACTTGTGGGCAACGTCCACAATAGTTTTCACATTTTAAAAAGGATATGTAAAAATAAATAAATAAGAGAGATCAAATTTGTTCCTCAAAGCCTAACATATTTACTGTTTAACCCTTTACAGGAAAAGTTGATGACAGAGTCAGTACTTTGGGGGTAGGAGAACATTTTCATTTAGATACTTAATGTCTGAGAATGGTAAAAGTTATTTCCTTGAGTTAAATTCCAGCTTTGAATTAACATTCACTCCCAACACTGGCAGGAGTTGAACTGGGCTTTTCTCCTCAATTCCTGACTTTCAGCCAGTCACACAGCTTCCTACATCTCTGAGCAAAGAGAGAGCTCCAAGAATACTCTCTTCATCATTTTTCATTTTCAGCCCTTTTCAGAGAAAAAAAAAAAGCATTTCTGTTCCTTTGTAAGGCCAACCCCGTCTGATCTTTTTACAAACTTCTTCAGGCATCTTACTCCAAGTCACCTCCATTTTCCACCACCCCTACTTTTATTTTGGTCTGTTTGCATGCTCATCATTGGCCTGCATCTTCCTATCCTGCTGATACCAATTGCTTCAGGCCATCCTTTCCATCCTTTCCATCCTTCCTTTCTCCACCAGTTATTTAAGAGTAGCCTGTTGATTTCTTCTTCTAAACTTAACTCACTGAGATCTGACCTTTACCACTACCATCTCCCCGAACTTCTCTGGGTCACTCATAACCTAACTGGTGAATTCAATGACTTCTCTTTCATCCTTTTTTCTCTGTGGTTTGAGATTTCTTTCTTAAAACTCCTCCTTTCGCATTTCATAATGTCCTCCAATGAGATTTCTTCCTAGTTCAAAGGCAGTCTTTGTCACTTAGGTGCTTTCGTCTCCTCGTTTTAGGGTTTCAGTCTCACCCTCTCTTACTCCTCTAAAGCGAGTTTGGCAAACATGTTCTGTAAAGGTCAGTGAGTAATTTAGGCTTTGCAGGCCATACGGGCTCCAAGCAACTACTCAACTCTGCTGCTGTAGTGTGAAAACCCCAGACAACATGTAAATGAAGGAGCATGGCAGGTGACCGTACAGATTTGGCTCCAGATCACAGTTCTGCCAATCCCTGCTCTAAATCCTCACAGCTGAGAAAACCTCTCCTCTCCTATGACTTGAAAGTGTACTGAGAAGGTTACGAACCTGAATCTGACTTTCTAGGTCTGAAGTCTCCCCTGAGTTCCAGTCCATCTCAGTGACACTCAGGTACCTGAAGCTCACTGAGTCTCTTTATTGCTTATCTTCACACACAAACACATACCCTTTGTATTTCTCCTCCTGCTCTATTTCAGTTAAATGCATCTCTTCTTATCCAGTTGCCCCAAGATGAGTCTGTTCATCTTTCATTCTTCCTTCTTCCTCAGCTCATCTATGTTAACAGACAGCAAGACCCTACCTTCTTTTCTAGATGAGAAACTGTATTTTTGACATCCTGACTTAATGTGACAAATCCTCCCTGATGTTCTAGACTGTCAGAGCTCTTATCATAGCCTATGTTACGCTGTATTTTTATATCCCTTAACTCGGTAGCAGTTTGTTTCCAAACTTGACCTCAATGTTTGAATACTTAATTGACGCCTGTTCCTCTCTAGACTAACTTTCATGAGGGTTGAACTGTGCCTGCAGCTCCTATTGCAGCTCCAGGAACCATATCAAGGCATGATCCTGTAGTTCCAGCTGACATTTTTAGACACATCTCTAGTTAGTCCCTCTTTCTCAAATACCCTGTTCTCTAGCTGCCCAACAGACTAGGCAATGTGTTTTCTTGCCTTTGGGCCTTTAGTTAGGTTGTTCTTTCACTCTGAATTGTTCTTCTTTCCCTCCCCTCTAGAAAACCACATCTTTTGGTAAATGCTTACTTATCTTCAAAGTCTCTATTGAAATACTATTTATTTTCTATAGCCTTCTACTTAATACAGAATTGATTGCTTCATTCAACTCCCAAAACACATATTTTTATTATAGCATGTACATCACAGTATTGTGTTTACATGATTTCCTTTTCACCCCACCCCCACTCCAAAAACTCTCATTTATGAGGTGTTTATGGGCAGCAATTTTGTCTTCACTCACTTTGCATTTACACTATTTTCACAGTGCCTGGAGCATAATATGCATTCAATAGATGGTTAAACTTGGATTGATTTTTTTCTAAATATGTAAAACTATATTATCTCTCATGTGTGTATATTTTTGTGTGTGTGCGTGTGTGTGTGTGTGTGTGTCTAGGGGGTGGGGAGAGATTGCCAAAGTCATAACTGTACAATCTCTGGGTTTCTGCGATACTATAATTTTGAGATTTAAAAAATTGGTAGATTGAAATAAAGGGGTCATCCTTGTGACCTCAGTGGTCAGCATTTATGTTCTTTTCAATTCAATCCATAAGGGTTTTGAAAGTATAAAGAGGGACTCAGGCTTGGCCTAAAGTTGGTCTTGTGTCTTAGGGAGGAGCACGGAAGAATGCTCGCCAGAAGAACAATGACCTAATACGTTACTACTTCTCAGATGCCAAGACAATGTATGAAATTTTCCAAAGAGGACTTGCTGTGTCTGGTAAGTCTAGCAATCTAAATTTCCTCTAAGAAGACCAAGGTGAGGGTCTTGTTCCATACCTCTTCTTCCCTGTCTCACTTCTAAAACCCCAGCAGTATCTGAGTAGAATCTCAACATACAAAGTGGAGGGGACATTAGGATGTATCAGGATGGGTGCTGGAAACATAGTAGGAGAGACCTGGGTTTCAAAAGAGGTCTTCTGTTTTCAGCTATGTGACCTGGTCCAGACCACTTTGCATCTCTGAATCTGTTCCTCACTTGACACGAGAATTTCCCTGCGAAGTTGTTTCTGAAGAGTTCAACAATGTTTAGGAAAGTATTTTGATTGACTCACTAGTACATTGTGTTTGTTTAGGAATATGCTTTTCATAAATAAAATTCTCCACCCTACTAGCCTATGCCCCCACTTGTAGTACCACAGAAGGCTTCCTTAGGAACACTACCATTGGGGTTTGGTAGGTTCCTTTGGGACATATCAAGGCTTTGTACTTATATCTTGTATCATTGAACACAATGCTAAGTCACTAGTTTCCTTTCAGGATAACCGGCCTTTTAGCTCTCCCTAAATCTTTGTTCTTTTGGTGACGCTCTGCTCAGACATAGGTCGGCTTATGTGACCCCCTATTCCTCCCTCCCCTTCTGCTGTTTAGCTATGCTATGGCAGTGCTTAATAGTCAACTCCTGTCAAGTGCTAACTATGCAATAGGAACTGCACACATACTATCCACTTAATCTTTCCTAAATCTTAGGGATTGGTTATTATTCCCCCTCCTTGACTTTTAATAATGAGGAAACAGAAACTCAGAGGTTTTGAAATATGCCAAAGGTGACAAACTAGAAAACATTGCCCCTGATAGTGAAATCTGAGTCTGTCTGGAGAGATTATTCTATTTTAGATCACCTCTTAAGTATTTTATAAAAGTAGTTACTCTTCCAGACAATGAAAGGTTTATTGTAAAGAAAAATTCTACCTGAAGACTCCAAAGGGGACTGTACTTGGTTTTTCTGACTCCATATTAGCACTTATTTAGACTTCTATGCAAATAGTAAACAAAACCAAACCAACCATTAGTTTCTTTACTTTTTGGCAACTTAAGATAGTGTATGGCTCATATAACAGACTTTCCTTTGGGATTTTCTATTCTTCAAAGTTTTTTTCTTTGCATTTTCTTAGTTGCTTTATTATAACTAGAAACAAGTCATTTGGCATTGATATGTGGCACATAAGATACTTCATTTAGAAATTGATTTTCAATTCTAAATTAAAATGGCTTCTCACGTAAGCAGGCATGAGAAATCTAGCCTGTTTCCACAGAAAAATGACACTTCTGGTGTTGAATACATCAGCCTAACATATACTTTAAGCCCTTACCCTATATGCAGTCTATGTTAGGAATCCCCTGTGGGTACTATTTAGAATATAGACCTGTAGCTCCACCTTACTGCACTGACTCAGAATTCCAGGTAGCGAGACCTAAGAATCTGTGTCTTGAACAAAGTTTCTCGGGGTTCTGCATGCCAGATTTTTCAACTCTATTTACTTAGGGCAGCAATTTTGCCAGAAGTTGTCAAGTGGGGGAGGAGGCCGGTCCTCATAGATAGCCACACCTTTGAACAGAAGGACATCAGAGTTGAATAAGTTCATTAAAGGCTAGGCTGTTGCCTGGGCAGACTTCAGCTAATAAGGCTGAAGCTGATTAGGGCACAGATTTTAATGAGACTGCAGTTGGTGCCTCTTTGGGCCAATTATTTGGCTTGTTCCTTGGCCATGGGCCTCTGCCAGAATTTTCATCAGTAGAGAGGTGATGAGATGCAGTATGTTTTTGTTCACATTCAGCAGCTCTACCATTTAATGAGTGGACTTAAAGAAACTGTCCGAGTCCTTCGTGATTCTTTGTAGCAGGGGATAACAACAGTTGGGAAGACCAAATGAATTCACATGCTTAGCACAGAGTAAGCATCCCAGAAATGGTAGCCATCACTAGGGATTAACATTCATACAAAGGATCCCGGTGGTAGCCCACTGAGGCGCCCGCTCACCTGGAGCAGGGACTGTGGGCACCTGCCAGAGCAGAACCTGCCTTGCTTCAGGGAAAGGTGCACTCTGAGACTTGGCTTCTTGAGCTTTCATGCAGCAGCTTCAGCAGGAAGAAAAGTACTACTGTTTCCTGTGGACAGTCTCCTCATTCATTTTTCTCTATCTGTTTCATCAGAGTGGCTCTCTCTTTCCTGCTTTCTTTCCTTTTTCGTCTGTCACTTAGCCTGGAAGTTCATTTATTTACTTGTGAATTCCTAGTAACCCTCTCTCCACATGCTTCCTTTTGGCAAGACCTGAATTCCTCTCAACAGTTGGGCTAGATCCTCTCTGTAAAATTTCCTTTCCTTCTCTTTTTCTGTTTATAACTTAGTCTCATTCTGGCTCAGATGTGGGGACTTCTCAGCCAGGGTTGTTCCTTAGCCTACTATCCCAACTTCCGTGGCTCCTGTGGCAGAGATTACTCTTTACTTTCATGAGTGGGTGTTCCCAGACTTATTTTAATTTCAAACAGGGCTGAGTAGTTTAGATGTTCAGAAGTTTAATTATTCTATTGTCAATGTAAAACACAATTATAAAAATACTGAAGACACGAGTGTACATATGTGTGTACACATGTGCACCCAGGTGTGTGCTCATGTGTGTAAGCACAGGTGTGTGTGTGTGTTCTTATAGTCCTTTATGAGCCTCAGTACCTCAGCAGATACTCACATAAATGGGCAAAGTATATTAACAGGTGATTCATGAGAGTAAAACTGAACAAGCAAGGGAAAAGGTCCATTTCAATAACTGTTAAAGAAACTTAGACTAAAGGAATAACTTGTTAAACCTATCAAACCAGAAGAGATGTTAGATACTATTTAGTGTCTATGACTATGTCACTGGTGGGAGAACAGTATTGTCACAACTGCTCTACTAAGCAATGTGTTGCTAGGTATCAAAAACTTAGCTGTTCTGGCCTCCCCTCCCCCAGCCTTCCCAAACCCAGTTATTTCATTTTAGGAACTCTATTCTAAGAAATGTTCTAAATTTGACATGATCAATTTGAAAACATTTATCATATCATTATTTAAGGTGTCAAACTTGGAAATAGTCTAAATACTCACAGTGAGATAAATCTAGCTACAGCAGTGCCCTTTATTGATTGGCCATAAAAAAGGCCATTGAAATCTCTCCAGAGAAGAAATAATAACATAGGGGAAAATGGGGGGAAAGAAGCAAGATACCAAAATATATGTGGATTGAACACAACCCAGTAAAATCATGCAAAGGAACTGTGAAAGGAAATAGTGATGATAATGGTGTTTATGTGATGAGATTGTTGACAACTCATACTTTGATTTTCTTCTATACTTTTATGAGTATACATTTATTTTATTATAGGGAAGTTCAACCCAAGATTATCTAATACAGTCTGTGTTTACTTGTTGGCTAATCGGTACTTAGGGCTTTCTCCAAATGCCCATTATTATCATGTAGGTCACATATTCCAACACTGAACCATTCTTGTTGTGTAACATTTCCTAAATGTTTCAAATGTAGTTTATAAGACTTTCTGCCTTTTAGAATTGAGTATTGGTTGCTTTTGAATTTCCTTGGCATATAAGAGAATCTCACATTCTTACTGGATTTATCCTTTGTGTCTTGGTTCTTCTTAAGAACTTTTTTTGCCTTCTCTGATCCAAAGGATTTACAACTGGAGCTGATTTTCTTTTAATGTTATATTTTTAGATAATGGGCCTTGCCTAGGATATAGGAAACCTAACCAACCCTATAGATGGCTGTCCTACAAACAGGTAAGTCAGACCCATGGTTTTCAGTATATTCTTTTGCTAGTGCAGTATACTGGGCTAATTTGGTCTCTTTTGGGTCTTGACTGCTTTTTGTTTTCTCTCCCTCTTTTGTAGGTGTCCGACAGAGCAGAGTATTTGGGCTCCTTTCTCTTGCATAAAGGGTATAAGCCATCACCAGACCAATTTGTTGGCATCTTTGCTCAGAATAGGCCAGAGGTAACCATGCTGCAGTGAACTCGAGGAAATCAGTCAGGGCTAAGTCTAAAACTTTAAACCCCACCTTGGAACCAGCACTCTGACACTTGCTAATGCCTTGCCCACACTATTTAAAGAACTCACATTCTTTAAATATTGTTCCACTTCAAAGAGTTACAGTTACAGTTACAGAATTACCTCCTTACTTCCTGGTTGAACATTTAGGGCTTTAAGCTAGGTGGCTGGACTTCTCTTATTCCCTAGCTTATTACGGTTCATTCTAAGTCAGTCTGTTAGTTATACAAGGGAAACGAGGAAGCCATGAGAGGAGGTAGCAAATAGGAGCTTGAAGATGTTGTGGAGAGGGATGTACATGTATTAGAATTGGAACCTGTATGTTGTACTTGAACTAACCAAGGCATCCACTGAGACTGGCTGTAGCTGTCTTTCCACAGTGAGTTAAAAGCATGTTTTAGACATTAAGATTATTGGAATTAAACTTATCTCCAAGTTCAAGTTAAGTCATTAAACCCAATATCCTCCAAGGAAGTCTTTGTATGCTTCAGAATAGTTGGTAACAAATGCTCCCTAGAACCAGTTGCATAATTGAAAATCTCAGGAAGCACTGGTTGCACTTTTAGGTTAATCAACATGCTCCATCTCTGTTACACCAGCCTCAAAAAGAAGAGCCATCCCTGACTCTAGTTTAGGAATTTAATGCCAAGCCTAGTGTATTAGTCTGCTAGGGGCTGCCACAACAAAATACCACAGACTGGGTGGCTCTATCAACAGAAGCTGATTTTGTCCAAGCTCTGGAGGCTGGCAGTCAAGAACAAGGCACGGGCAGGTTTGCTTTCTCCGGGGGCCTCTCGCCTTGCCTGTACGTGGCTGCCTTCTCACTGTGTCCTCACCTGACCTTTTCTCTGTCATCCCCAGTGTCTCCTCCTCTTATATGGACACCAGTCACATTGGATTAGGGCACCACTCTTATATCTTCATTTAACCTTAATTACCTCATTAAAGGCCCTAGTTCCAAAGACAGTCACATTGGGGTTAGGATTTCAACATGAATTCTGAGGGGACAGAATTCATAACACATAGACTGACAAAAGCCCTACCATTAGCACATTCTGATTCCCCTTTCTGATTCTTTCCTATACTTTTCCTGCTTCTTGATGTCATGCTATCCTATCTTTGTTCATTCACTTCCTTCTTCCTTGAATTCCCTCTCTGTCCTGACCTCCATAACCAAATTCTACCAGTCTCTCAAAACCCTGCCTGTTTTTCCATCACTTTCCCCAAAGCAGTCTCAGATACCTTTACCTCACCCCTGAAAGTGATCTCTGCCTCCTTAAAACTCCTTCATGCTTTCTGTACATCTTATGAATGGAACTTACCACCCTCTACTTTGCATTCTGGTCCTTTGTATTGTAACTGTCTCTGAGCCTTCCTATTTAACTGTAATTTATAACATTAGCAGTGCCAGTCCCTAGAGCCACATGGTGATTTTTTTTTAACACAAAGACATCAAATAAGCATTAGTTGGCTAAATGACTGAAGTAATACTTTTACTTTTTAAAACATTCTCTAGTTTTTACTTGAACTTCTCTCTCCATACAGTGGATCATCTCCGAGTTGGCTTGTTACACGTACTCCATGGTAGCCATCCCCCTGTATGACACCTTGGGAGCAGAAGCCATCATATACATTGTCAACAAAGGTACAACTTTGCTATTACCTTAAAACTGGATTTTTCTTAATGCTAAGTAGGTTCTCAGTATCTGCTTTTTTTTGTAGACTTAGAATGCTGTGGCCAGAAAAATGCTCAAGTCTTTCTTGTCATGTAGTACCTAGGATATAATTTACAGGGACATTACAAAAAGCCCATGAGGCAGGGATATATACAGAAGTTTCAGTGAAATGCTTCAAGGAGGCATAGTGTGATAACATACTATAGAGATAAGATTATTTACTTCAGCCACACTAGGTAAAAAGCCATCAGATGAAGGGCTAAATCACTTAATGGTTTAAATCACTATGAAACTACTGGTTTCATTTCCTATTCTTATAAATCCAAGTCAATACAGTACCAATGTCCATGGTGAGCCTGCAGAAAAAATTGCCATTGTGAGAGAAACAAGTATAAATTCAATGACAAATAACAGCCTTTTCACATATCCAAGATACTGCTTTCTGTCAGGAAACTAGCAGATTAAATGAGTACCTCCATTTGAACTGTAGATAGAATCAGAAGTTTTCTATTTGTGCAAACAAGTATCAAAGCAAACATTTAGAATTTAGAACATCATAAAATGTTTGCCTGCTAAAATCCCATTTGCTCCCTCCTTTCCCTCTTACTCCCCAGTCCCCTCCCCCAAATGAAACATGTTGACAGGACCACACCTAAGTGATCCATGCACTTTGCTTTGTTCTTAAGCAGAAGGAATTTTGTGGACACAGTTTACAGCATTGGCAGCACACAAGAAAACTATGTGCTTCTGTTTCAATTAAGCTCAATTATTATCAATGGAATATTTCATGGTTTGTGCATTATAAATCTGATGGGCAGACATAATCTCCTTTAGGAACCCACTAGCCCTGAAAAATCTCTTTCTCCTTGCAAGGCAATCAGATACATAGCAGACGGGAGGGTGACCTCTGACTTTATTTCTATTTTCAGCTGATATCACCACGGTCATCTGTGATACGCCCAAAAAGGCATCAGTCCTCATAGAGAATGTGGAGAAGGGCCTCACCCCAGGCCTGAAAATGATCATCCTCATGGATCCCTTTGAGGATGATCTGAAGCAAAGAGGGGAGAAAACTGAAGTTGAAGTCTTATCCCTGTTTGATGCAGAGGTATAGGTCTTAAATTCAACTCACAGCTTGAAAGCTGGCCTGACACCGTCAGCAACCTGCAGGACATGGACACAAGAGTGCAGGCTGTTGTTCTCCAGGGGTGGCAGAAAAGGAGCATATTAGACTCATGTTATGAAGCTTTGGAAATTATTTCCCCCAGACAACTCAGAAACCATGCAAGGGAGGAGAAAGATCTATGGCGGCAAACCAGACTTCTAAGTAGGGAATTTATAAATACAGAGCACAGTGGTGGTTAAGAATATGGATCCTGGATTCACCCCAGCTGCCTAGGTTCATGTTCCAGCTCCACATCTATTAGGTAACCTTGGGCAAGTGGCTGCACATCTCCCTTTCTGTAGCTGTAAAATAAGGATAAAATTGTCCCTACCTCACAAAGGGGTTGTAAAGAGTTCAACAAGTTAATATACATAAAGTGCTCAGGACAGTAATCTATTGGTGTGTAGGAAGCCCTGAAATGTCAACTATGCATGTTATTTAAAAAGATTTAGCAATGGTCCCAGATGGAGCTTAAAAGTATGATGAGAAGTTTGGACCCTTGGGCCTGATCCAGGTTAGAAATTGGTTATATTCCCACAAAAAAGGGAAGCGTTCTCGTGAAAAAGGGAAAGAAAGGCTTGTATTTGTCATAAGTCTGTCCACCTCTACTAATGTCTTTCTCTCTTGGCTTTCTGTTCATGTAGAACCTAGGCAAAGAGAACTTCAGAAAACCTGTGGTAAGTTTTCTTCTGCCTGAATTTGAGTCTTGCCATATCTAACTCTCAAAGTTCATGGTAGACTAAGGCCTCATCCCCCTCTCTCTAGCCTCCTGAACCAGAAGATCTGAGTGTCATCTGCTTCACCAGTGGGACCACAGGTCAGTGCCCATGAAGATTCCCCAGAGGCCACTGGTCAGCCCAAAACATGGCTTGAGTCACTGACCACTGATGGGCTGGGCTGGTAAATAAATATACCCTGCAATGAGCCCTATCCTTGTGAACTCCCTAAGCTCACAAACTAAGGCTTTTGAGTATGGATGCCTACATAGAAAAACATGAGCATAAGCATATAAACTTCACTGAATGCACTGGGAGGTGTTTATATGCTGTGGATTCCAGGGCTCTTAAAGGTGGCATCACAAAGTCAGCTTTCTTCATCAGCTAACCACTCCCTCAATCTGCTGCTGCTGGAATGGTTTTACTCAACCAAGGCAATCCAGTGAGAGTTCTGCACAGATCAGTGTGCAGCACCCACCCCCCTTGCAACTACCTATCAGCACCCTTTATGGCTTTGAGTATGGCCCATGATGACCTACAGTTATAGCCATTTCATTGTTTCCAGTTTATATAGAAGGGCACAGGGAGGTAATATTGTTAGATCTGAAGTCTTAAACATAAAAACAGCACAAGGAGGGGTTACTTGGAATTTTCTTTTCAACTGTTGGTATTTGAGATTGTGGCTGTGCACTGTGTGGTAGTAGACTAACACTGCTGGCAGTAAAATCTCTGGGTGCATTAATCTCATAAACAGTCATATACTGTATCATAAAAGACAAGAGAAACTCTTGGCTCTCTGGAACAGAACCAATTGAATATAGATAGCTTCTTGCATCGAAGCCAAAGGCAGTTGCCAGTTAACAATATAAAGGGTCTTTCTCTCCATATCTTGTTTCCTATAGGTGATCCCAAAGGAGCCATGATAACCCATCAAAACATTGTTTCAAATGCTGCTGCTTTTCTCAAGTGTGTGGAGGTAAGGGGTTAATTGAAAAAGAGGGCCTCATTGTAATGTGAATCTGCCATAAGATTTTAATCTTGAAGTTAGAGGAGACAGGAAAAAAAAAAGGTTAAGGACCTGAGAGTAGACAAATACTGGTGCGTCTTTGCAGAGGACTGTGTATTTTCAAGCCACGATCTTTTATGATCACTCAGATCTCTACACTCAGCACAGCTAACAGGATCTCTTAGAGTTACACAGTGTATTTCTGCCTGCACAACTGTATGTGGCAGTCCTGAGAAGCAGTTTTTTTAAACCAAAAAAATTTTTTTGAGTTAGATCAGGTATCAACGTAATGATTCAAATATATGTATAAACTACAAAATGATCCCCACAGTAAGTCAACATCCATCACCTCACACAGTTATGAATTTTTTTTCTTGTGAAGAAAACTTTTAAGATCTACTCATTTAGCAATTTTCAAATATGAATACAGTATTATTAATGAGTTAACAGGAGTAGTTTTTAAATCTCCTTTGGAAGAGAAAGTTGGCATTAATCCAATGTTGCCTCCCCTTTGTTCTCTACCCTATAGTACACTTTTGAGCTTACCCCTGAGGACGTGACCATATCCTACCTCCCCTTGGCTCATATGTTTGAGAGGGTTGTACAGGTGAGTATCTTATGTTCCTAGCGGGTATGTCAAAAGGCAGTCGTGACTTGCTAGTCCAATGTTTATTCTAAAATAGCTGTACAACATTTAGAGCTCTTTCTTTAATTTGAAGGCTACAGGTAGGGAGTTAGCACAGCTGAATCTACACTCTGGCATTATCCCCAACTTCCTCTATGAGTCTGTGTCCGGTGGGGCTAATGCTTGCTACTGCCTTCATACGGGGGTCCTGCAAATCCAGGGAAGTCATAGCTGAGAGTTTACTATCTGCCCTTCATTCTGAGTGGGGATAGGAGACATATTGTTTCTTTTTTTAATTTTATTTTGGTTAGACTTTTATAAAGTTCTAGGATTAGAGTATAGGAAGCTCCCCACAGAAAGGCAGAGGAGAATTTAATCCAGGTGAGATGTCCAGAGCATATAAAGTAGAGCCATTCAGAACTGTGTATATGCCGGAGGAGTATTGCCTTTCTGCGAGTTGGACTCAGGCCTTTCAGGCTATTCTGAGGCTGATTTGAGAACCAAAAGCAGTGTTGGCCTTTCAAAAAACACAGGTGTTAGTGTGGATGGAAAATTCCATTTAAATACCTCTTCAACCAGCTTATCCGTTGATGCAAGAAATGTCAAAATAAAAGAACTATAAAGCATGACATCGTAGGCATCTCATGTCACCCAGAGCTGTGGGTGGAGTTGCGTGAGTCCTCAGTCTCACCGTCTGTCTTACCTGTCCTGTCACCTCAGAAGAAATGGATTCCCACCTGTCTTGAGGGCGGGCTTTCAGAGTTCTGGGTACCTGAAACATTGGGAGGAGGGTGGGTGCTATATAGAGAAACGGGCCCATGGACATCAACCTAGTTCCTTGGTTCTGTCCAAGACAGGCCCCACCTGAAGGGGGCCTTAGGCTCTGAGCCCTAGTGTTTGGTTTTGCTTTTAGATGGTTATATACTCTTGTGGAGCCAGAGTTGGGTTCTTCCAAGGAGACATTCGGTTGCTGCCTGATGACATGAAGACTCTGAAGCCCACAGTGTTTCCCTCGGTGCCGAGACTCCTTAACAGGGTCTACGATAAGGTACTAACCTGGCTTCTGCTGGGCAGCCCTGAGATGAAGGAACTGTCTGTGGCTTAGGCCCAAGGCTCTGAGGGACTCTATATTGCTAAGATATTTGCCCCACTTCCAGCCCCTGACTCCCTACAACCATCCACTTACAGCTTCCCTTACTAATGCATGATGAAAAACCATAAATGAAACCTCCTTTCCTCAGGACGAAATTACCTGGACCTGACAGAGCTCAATTCAGAGCTTGGGGAGCCCCTAAAATTCAGCTAACTTACTGAGAAGTTGTTACTCTGATTTAGTAACACATACTGGTTATTGAGCTTTTTGCTGAGGTGCCAGGCCCCAGCATAACCATTTCGTATTCATTCCATCATTGAATCCTCACAAAAACATAGGCAATCATAACTATACTTATTTTCCCTAATACACAGATAAGAAGACATACTTCAGAGATAAAAAACTTGCCTGCATCATATCTAATAAGGGTCAGAACAGAATCAAATTGTTACCATCAGAGCTGTCACTGAGTACCACTCTATTTTTTCATTAGGGTTTACAAATTGGTGATCTTTCTAATTTAATCATTTCTCTTAACATTCATTAGCTGAGACTCTTCCATAAAGACATGACAAATATTTGATTTTTAAGTCAACCTTCAAATAATAAATTAGTGCCCCAACAATCTTCAAAAATGGTCAATGAATTTTTTTCTTTGTATTATTATGAACTTAGGATTTGCATATCTGTATGTTTAATCCATTTTGGTCATTCTTCTCAGTGCTGAAGTTGGGAGCCCCATCAAGTTGTTCATGTGTCCTTTTGGCACAGCCCCTGTAGTCTTTGATAGCTCCCTTGCTTTCTGACATCCCATGTCCCAAGCTCATCTTGTATGCTTCTCACTTAAGTCTTAGAGCCCTTAGAACTGGGATTTGAGCCTAGGCAATACAGTAACAGAGCTCAGGCTCTAAACCCTGTGCTTGATAATTTCATAATTCCATAGGCATTGGGAGGCCTGAGGACCTGACACATGGCCATTTTGCACATGCTTGGACCTCATCCTAGAGATTCTAACTTGTGAATCTTACCAGGTGCTATCCTGGGGCTCTGGTGACATGGAAGGCAGCATTCTAGAATACAGATGACCCTTGAACATTGAAAGTGCTGGTTCCTGTTAGAATTATTAACAATTCAAACAGTTCCTCATCATGCTATAGAAAGGTTAGCCTCATTGTTACTATGGTTTTTGTTCATGTTGTTGAATATTTTTTATTTTTTAGAGTAGTCAATTTGTAATATGGTAGTAATTAAAACAGTTCACTTCTGAAACTCATTTTAAAACTCGAGGATTTTATTAGTGTGAGTTTCTTAATTCTAGCTCTTTGTCAGTGACTTGTTAGAAAGAAGTTGAGTCTTGTGAATACTGGAAAAAGATAAATCTCTTACTATTGAAAGAGGTATCAGGAATGACACAATGCAGGCAGCACTTGTGTGTATATCTTGGAGATAGATGGCAAGATGTTGGCAAATGATGGTGCAATGCCTGAAGCCTAGAGCATAGTTGGCATTAAGAGGTGAGGATGACCAACCCCATTTGGCTAGAGGCCTAGAAATGGAAGTGTAAATATGGAAGAGGGCTGGAGAGGTGTCTTTGAATTTTGAACTGGAAAAGAACTTTGATTTCCTTGAATCTGAATTCTGGTAAGATGGAATTTTGAAGGTCAAAATATGGAGTTTAGGATTTAATTTTGGAAATAAGGGGGATTTGAGTTGTAATTGGTAAAGCTCTCCTTTGGCAGGAGTGTGGTTGATGGATTATAAAGTCACAGTGAGGCCAGAGTCAGGGAGACTAGAGAAATAATGTGAGCTGGGAAAATGGTGTCAGAATTAGGTCCAAAGGAAAGAAATGATCTAAGTAGGAAAGCCTTTTGGGTTTTGTATGGTATGGCTCAAGAAACTTGAGAAAGTGGTATTTCTCCAAGTTTAGTTTATATAAGCATCAGAGGAGCAAGGGGAGCAAGAGGTGGTGCTTGTATACAAATTAGGTTCCTAGGCCTTTCTTTGAACTATTAAATCAAAAGCCCATTAAGCTGTTTTTTGTCTAGTACTCCCAGGTAACTTTGTAGGTAGATGCCAGCCACATTTGAGGATATGCTTTTATCCCAGTTATCTAAGTTGTTTGACAAGGACGAGGAATCTGGAGGAGTTGGACCCCTATGTGTATGTACTCGGTTCACTTCTTTCTTAGTGGGTGATATTCTCTCGGCTCATCATTATTTAGCAACCCAGCCCATGAATGAGAGCTACTTCCTTATGAACCAGGAGGCACTATCTCTTGCTCACTGATGAATGAAGGTTCCTAGGCCTTTCTTTGAACTATTAAATCAAAAGCCCATTAAGCTGTTTTTTGTCTAGTACTCCCAGGTAACTTTGTAGGTAGATGCCAGCCACATTTGAGGATATGCTTTTATCCCAGTTATCTAAGTTGTTTGACAAGGACGAGGAATCTGGAGGAGTTGGACCCCTATGTGTATGTACTCGGTTCACTTCTTTCTTAGTGGGTGATATCTCTCGGCTCATCATTATTTAGCAACCCAGCCCATGAATGAGAGCTACTTCCTTATGAACCAGGAGGCACTATCTCTTGCTCACTGATGAATGAATGACTTTGTTGAGTATCTCTGATAAGTTTTCAGCTAAGAGGAATTATCACCCTGCAGGTACAAAATGAAGCCAAGACACCCTTTAAGAAGTTCTTGTTGAACCTGGCTGTTGCCAGTAAATTCAGTGAAGTAAAAAGAGGCATTATCAGGCGTGACAGCTTATGGGACAAGCTCATCTTTGCGAAGATCCAGGTAAGTTTGATGGGTCCTGGACAGAGCCAGGCAAATACCTGGGCTGCCCACCAGCTCAGTATGCTTTGCTTTACCGCTGATGGTTGAGTTTCTCTTCAACTAGAGAGCCTTTCACACTCTTTGGGTTCACTCACCTTTTGAGCTTTCTCTTGGACAACTCTGTCACCAAAGGGAATTGGTCAAAAGGAAGAAAATAGATTTTACTTAGGATCTAGTATGCTCTTATTCTCTTAGGTGGTCTGTTGAGATGATAAGTACTCTGAAGGGCCAAAGAATACAACTTATCTGAGGAAATTTAAAAAAAGAAATGCAGTTCTGGTGCCAGCTATGGATGGTGGTGACAATAGCAGCTAACCTTTTCAGTGTTTTTCCTCAATACCAGGCCGGATTCTAAGTGCTTTGTGAATTAATCGGTTTAATTCTTATAAAAACACAGCACAGGCTGGTCTACCCATTTTGTAGTGCAGGAAACTGATGTCCGGCAAACAGGTTTCAGCAGGTCTTTTGTTTCTACTGACCAGGCCAGCCTCGGCGGGAGGGTCCGCTTCATGGTCACCGGAGCTGCGCCCATCGCCTCACCCATCCTGACATTCCTCCGGGCAGCAATGGGGTGTCCGGTAAGCCAAGCACCTTCTCTGAAGATAGCTTATTTAACTTTTACACAAATAAAGCTCGCTGTTAAAGATGAAAACACAACTGAAAAGTAACAAAGAGAAAGTTAGCAAAAAATCTCAAAATCAAGAGAAAATATTCTCTTTATGCATCTGTGCACAGAAACCTTTTCATAAATGGCACCAAGTGTTCTAAAATACTTGTTAAACAGTGCGCTGTCAATATTGCTCCTCATCAAATAAAGACCTGCATCACTTTAATGATTTTGCAATAATTTATTGAGTATACCTAAATAATTCATCTCTTATTAGTGGAAACTTATGCTGCTTACCATTTTTTCACTATTATAATTAATGAAGTGAAACGGATACTTATGTGCCCTTTAGTATTTATGCAATTGTCAATTTATGGTATTAAATCCCTCCCTGCAAGTTGGGATTATTGGGTCAAAATATATGGATTTTTGTCACACGTTAATGTAGGTTGTCATTCCCTCCAGGCAGATCTTGTCTTTTTTCTACCTTCCTGCAAATAATGCAGGAAACCTTATTTCCCCAGTAACAGGGTTGTCAGTCATTTAAATCTTGGCCAGATACATGAAAAATCTTATCATAGTTTTGTTTCTTTTTTTAATACCAAACATCATTTTTATTGCTTATTGGTATTTCTTCCATGAATTACTCTATTGCTTTTTGATAGAAAAAAA